GGTGGGATTTATCACAGACCCCCCACACCATGGCAAATATGAGGCGATTAAGGCCCTTCTCCTTAAGACATTTAGCTTATCTGCTAAGGAGAGGGCCCGCCAGATACTTCACATTCAAGGCCTAGGAGACAGCAAGCCTTCCCAGCTAATGGAGAAAATGCTAAATCTGCTAGGGGGGGAAGATCCCCGGATATTATTCACGGAGATTTTCCTGCATCACTTGCCTCCCTGGGTCCAGACGGCGCTGGCCAACACGCCTGTCACGGAGCCCCGTGCCTTGGCTGAGGAAGCAGATCGTTTTTTCCTGGCTACACAACAGCCCGGTGCAGAGACGTTAGCCGCGACGCTCAGCGGCCCATCTGCAGTCAAGAAAGTGTGGCGGAGGCAGGACACGGCTGTATCGAGCCGGCGTGGAGACACCGGAGAGTGCTTTTACCAAGCACGTTTCGGGACAATGGCGAAGAAATGCATCGCCCCGTGCAGCTACAAACCCCCGGGAAACGGAGGGGCCGGCGCTCAGTAGTGGCCCTGAGCGTCGGCGGCACGTGCAGGCTCCTCTTCGTCAGTGAAAGCGTTTCGGGGAGCCTGTTTCTGTGTGACACGGGCGCTCAACTGAGCGTAGTTCCAGCGTCGAGTGAAGACGTCACCCGGGGTGGGCACGGACCGCGATTGACGACGGCTAACGGTGGTCCCATTCGCATGTACGGCGTGAGGCCTACTGTATGTGTTTGTGCATCGGAGGACAGCGTTTCAGCTGGGATTTTGTGACAGCGGACATTTCTTTTCCCCTCCTCGGAGCGGATGTTTTGTGTGCTCATGGACTCTTAGTGGACGTTAAGAATAGGCGTTTGGTTGATGCCTTAACGTTTTCTTCCCTTGTGTGCACACTTGGCAGCGCAGCCTTCGGGGGCAGACACGTTACTCAGACTGTTGGCCGAGTTTCCAGACCTGTCGCTGCCCACCTTCTCTGCGCTTACCACTAAGCATGGCGTGGAGCACCACGTCACTACCGAGGGGCCTCCTGTCTACGCCAGGGCCCGGCGGTTGAAACCTTCTAAGCTAGCTGTAGCGAGGGCGGAGTTCGCAACCATGGAGCGCCTGGGCATTGTCCGCCGCTCCGACAGTCCTTGGGCTTCTCCCCTGCACGTCGTCCCCAAACCGAACGACAGGTTCCGCCCGTGCGGGGATTACCGCCGAATCAACAACGCCACTACGCCTGACCGCTATCCGGTGCCGCACATTCAGGACTTTTCGGCGCATCTGGCCGGTACGGGGGTGTTTTCCAAGGTGGACCTGGTGCGTGGATACCACCAGGTGCCCATGCACCCTCTGGACATTCCCAAGACAGTAGTGATAACGCCTTTTGGACTTTTTGAGTTCCTGCGGATGCCTTTTGGACTCAAGAATGCTGCTCAGACGTTCCAGCGCCTGATGGATTCGGTGCTGCGGGACCTGCAGTTTGTTTTTGTCTACCTTGACGACATACTCGTCGCCAGCGCTTCAGTGCAGGAGCATCTGTCCCACCTCCGAGCCCTTTTCACGCGGCTCAACGAACACGGATTAATCATCAATCCTGCAAAGTGCCAGTTCGGGGTGTCTGACATTGATTTTCTGGGGCACCGCGTCACCTCTGCCGGCGAAGGTGGAGGCTGTTGCGGCTTTTCCTCGCCCGCTCACAGCCCGGTCGCTCCGTGAGTTTCTGGGGATGGTGACCTTCTACCACCGTTTCATCGCCCGGGCCGCACACATCATGCGGCCGCTGTATGAAGCATTGAAGGGCAAGACCCCCGTCCAGGCGATTGACTGGACGGCAGAGGCGGACGTCGCTTTTGCTGAGGTCAAGACCGCGTTGGCTCAGGCGGCTTTGCTGGCACACCCATCATCTACGGCTCCCATCTCCATCACCACGGACGCGTCGGACTACGCGGTCGGCGCGGTGCACGAGCAGTGGGTGGAGGGCGCTTGGCAGCCGCTCGCCTTTTTCAGCCGCCAGCTGATGCCCAGAGAACGCAGGTACAGCGCTTTTGACCGTGAGCTCCTGGGTCTTTATTTGGCCGTACGGCACTTCCGTTTCATGCTGGAAGGCCGGGAGTTTACGGCGTTTGTCGACCACAAGCCACTCACTTTCGCCATGTCTAAAGTGGCGGATGCTGGGCCTGAGGACTGCGCCTAAAGAAGACCTGCAGTGCTCTACGGCTGAGATGGTCTACGGGCAGCCGTTGAGAGTTTCAGGGGATTTCCTCCCTAACGCATCGGCTCCCTGGTCGGCGTCGGCCCAGCGGGCTTTCCTGCAGGACGCCGCTGAGGCCTTTGCTCCGATCCCTACTACTCAGCACGGTACTCAGGTGTCCCAGGTTCCCGCAGAGCTCCGCTCGGCGGAGCACGTGTTCATCCGGCACGATGCGCACAGAGGCCCCCTGCAGCCCCCTTATGATGGGCCTTTCCGGGTCTTGGAGCACGGGGACAAGCACCTGGTGGTCGACCTGGGTGGCAAGGCCGAGCACGTCTCGGTGGACCGGGTGAAGGCTGCTCACCTGGACTTGGACCAGCCTGTGGTGCTGGCTCGACCTCCGCGACGGGGCCGCCCCCCGGCCTCGTCCCCTGTCACGGATTTAAGACCTGTTGTTCCGGTCCCTCCCCTTCCGGGGGCCGCACAGGCGGAAGTCACTTTTCCGACTCCCGTGCTCAGGAGTCGTGGGGGTCGGCGTGTCGTTCCTCCCCGCCATGCTGATTTTGTTTATGTGTGAATTCTGGGGGGGCTTGTGTGGTGACACGTTATTGGACATAATTCACCTTGCTTATTGTGTTGCCACACGGACAGGCAGAGCAGTGCATGTGTTAACCTCTCTGATAGTAATGGATAATAAAGATTGGAACTCCATTCTTAATACACCGCCTCCGACTCTCTTTTCACGGCACTACACTATGCTCAAGTATGTAGTCAAGCTAATGTCGAAGTAGTGTATGTGAAATCAACCTCACAATAAGATGTGTGTATATTACAATTATTAATGTCATATTTCAAGTAGGGCTGGGCGATTTGGCCTAAAAATAAAATCTCGATTTTTTTTCTAACTAATGGACAATTTTCGATTTAAACCTCGATTTTTTCTGTTTTTTTCTAAACAAACCAGACCAAGGCAACATTTAAATACATATTTTCTTTATTAACACAATAAAAATAAATGAGATTACCAAGTAAGTAGTTATACACATACCACTTCAATCTCATTAGTATGCATAGAAAGTGACAGGTCACACCTCTCCCTACTTATTAAGCCCCGCCCACTTCCGGCTAAACCCCGCCCACTTCCGGCTAAGCCCCGCCCACTTCCGGCTAAGCCCCGCCCACTTCCACCGGAAGTCCCGCCCCCACTTCCGGTTTTTCAAAATAAAATTAAAAAATATTTTAAAAATGATAAAAATAAAAATGCTGCCCCTACCGGTCACCCCCACTTCCGGTTTTTCAAAATAAAATTAAAAAATATTTTAAAAATGATAAAAATAAAAATGCTGCCCCTACCGGTCACCCCCACTTCCGGTTTTTCAAAATAAAATTAAAAAATATTTTAAAAATGATAAAAATAAAAATGCTGCCCCTACCGGTCGCCCCCGCTTCCGGTTTTCAAAATAAAATAACATGAAATGTAACAACCATATATTTTAAAAGTAATGTCTCAACTCTAAAGAGCAAGGCCCCGCCACCTAACCACTTCCTGTGCCCCTGTATACAGCAGTATTGACTGTAACTTACAAATACTTGCAAATAACATGAAATATACAACCATATATTTTAAAAGTAATGTCTCAACTCTAAAGAGCAAGGCCCCGCCACCTAACCACTTCCTGTGCCCCTGTATACAGCAGTATTGACTGTAACTTACAAATACTTGCAAATAACATGAAATATACAACCATATATTTGTAAAAGTACTGTCAATCTCACTAACTCTCTCTCTCTCTCTCTCTCTCTGCTATTCTCTGCCGTGAAAAGTTTGATGAACAGTCAAGACAGGTGTGGGGACCATAAAACCCCCCGACATCCTCTGCGGGGCAAATGGTGTGTGTGTGTGTGTGTGTGTGTGTGTGTGTGTGTGTGTGTGTGTGTGTGTGTGTGTGTGTGTGTGTGTGTGTGTGTGTGTGTGTGTGTGTGTGTGTGTGTGTGTGTGTGTGTGTGTGTGTGTGTGTGTGTGTGTGTGTGTGTGTGTGTGTGTGTGTGTGTGTGTGTGAGAGGAGACGGTCTGAGGCTGCTAATTACAAAAGTCTCCGAATTCAGGACAGATGGTCAGAGCAAAACAGAGAAAGCAGTTACATTATTTTCTCATGTAACTATCTACATGTTTTTTTGTAATGTGTATGCGTATATATGTATATATATAAATATATATATATATATATATATATATATATATATATATATATACACGCATACATATATACAGGAGAATAGCCTAAAATAAAAAAGTATTTGCTCTACCATAAAAAACCAAATACAATATAATGCTAATTTGTTAAACAATCAGGAATAACCCCATTGGTTGTTTTTAGAATCATTTACATATAGCGGTCTATAAGTAACCCCGAAAACATCTAGGCAGCCTCTCTTCGCTTTTCCCGTCAAGGCCCAGATATTTTGAAAATATATGGTAAGTACTTTTATTTGTTATGTTATAATAGCATATAGTTAGTTAATGCTGCTTGATGTGTGTGTGTGTGTGTGTGTGTGTGTGTGTGTGTGTGTGTGTGTGTGTGTGTGTGTGTGTGTGTGCGTGTTAAATAACCTCTATGCATCTGTGTTTTTCTATTATGTAATTATTTAGAAGCTTTAATGAAGTATCGTTCTAAGTACAAATAATGTGGTGTACATTTTTTACTATAAGTGTATTTAGCTATATTTCTTAAAAATTAAATATGTTCTTTCAGGTGTAAGTATCCAGAATAACGTACTCACTTGTTCTAAAAAGGTGGTGAACCCCCTCCGGCGGCCTGCATGGTCTCAGCTCAGCGCAGATCTGTTCAACAAGTCATCTCAACACAGACGGTGTTTTTGACAATTCAAACCTACCAGGTAAAAAATGCTTTTTTAGGTGTGCTTATACAAAAGATGATAGCTAAATGATTTTGTTTTGGAGTATTTTAAAAAACATGCTTATACCCTCTTCTTTTCTTTTCTTTTATAGAGCAATTGAAGGGGAGGACCCCGTTATCAAAAGGACAAACGCTGTTTGTTAAGGTCTGCTTTAAGGCCACACCATCTGAATAAGCTACACGTAGATCACATGTAAAACTGTTATTGATGTATCCGCCAGGTATGTTGACTTTACGTCCATGAATGTAGAAGCAAAGTGAAATGTTTCTTCAGCGGTGCCACTGATTTTTTTTGTTTTTATGTTTTGTTTTTTTTGCGGGGGTGATTTCTTAAAAACGGTCAAGCATGGATGATTTAAAAGACGACGAAAAGTCCTTCATCGAGGGTTTACCTGATGTAAATGAACTATGCAGTGGTGAGGGCTTTGTGTACGAAGACATGTCATTTCCACAGTGGTCAGACAGTAACAGTGAGCTAAATGACACAATAACAGATGTACGCGAGCCTACGCCCTTGACAGAAACAAGCCCCTATACAGATGGAGAAAGGTCCTTTCTGCATGTATTACCGGATGTAAACGAATTGTGCAGTGATGATGATGATGAATTCAGATATAGGGACCTGTCATTTCCGCAGTGTTCAGGCAGCAACAGTGAGTTAAATGACGAGGGGTCAGCTGTAAACGAGCCCGCGGCCTTGTCAGAAACAAATTCAAGCAGTCCAACAAAAACATTAGGCGGTGCCTTGGATTGGGTGATAGACTGCTATGCAGACCGAGGGCTTTTAGAGCAGCCTCTAGACAATGCCCGCCGTCTGGATGGACAAAATAGCGAAGCTTCGCCCCACGCCTGCCTCCCCGTTTCCAGCATGCAAGATGACGGGTGTGTTAATGACAGCTCGAATGACTCAGAATCACCCGCTTGCTCCATGCAAAGTAACAGACATGTTGATCAGAATGACACCCCGAATGCTTCGGAATCACCGGGCCCCCTGTCACAGTATGGAGGAGGAGGCACTAGCAGAGATGCCGAGCCAAGTGTTATCTCTCGACCTGTATTCGGTAACATAGAAATGAGACAGTCTCTAGTCCTACCGCCTATTGGGGGTGAAGCAGACTTTGGAGTCTATTTTCAGGGTCTGATGAACAATGTGCATAACATGCGTGCACATGCTTTTGCACGGGCAGAAAGAGAAGATATCATACAAATTGAGTTACGTGGTGAAGAACTAAGGTTTAATGTATCAGCCATTTTAAATGGTCCCGATGATAATCTGGATGATTTTGAGGAGGGGCTGTTCAAAGCCATGCAATCGAATATCATGGTAATGGCAGAAGGCAACATGGAGCTCGTGGTTCAAATTGTTCAGGCCCCCCCGTGGGGGGGTTCAGGGTAAACGGATGATTAGTAAAATGTTAGACAGTGAGATTGTTAAAAAGAAGGCGCGTTTTCTTTACGTTGTTCAGAACTCCTCCAACCAGCTGTGTTTTGCTATTAATTTAGCACTGTTGTTACACGATAACCTCACTGATAATGAGGGGGTCAAGCGCGGTAAAGAGATCCAGAATATGGCGGGTTTGACAGCTCATACAGCTGTGACATTCAGCGACATTGATAAATTCGAAGACAGCTTAAACTGTAAGATAGTGGTTTTTTTACCGAAACGGTGACGACCGAACCCTTTGTAAATTTCAGACAGACGCCCCCAAACGAGACAAAACTGTGTTTCTGTTCCTCCTACACAACCATTACTATGGTGTGAAGAACTTGAAGGGGTTTTTAGGCTCTCCGTATGTCTGTGAGCATTGCTATACAGGGTACAGTTCTCAATGGAGTCACTCCTGTACTGGGCATTGCTATGTCTGCCTTGACCCTGCATGCACCCTGGCAGAGTTTAAACCCATCTTTTGTAAAGACTGCAACAAAACATGCCGTACAGTCGGCTGTCATTCTCGACATAAAGAGCAGAAACAGAGATCAACAGACATTGCCAGTAACTGTGATTTACACAAAAAGTGTGCAGATTGCCAACTTTCTTACTACACCCCCAAGAGTAAAGCAGATAAAACACACAAGTGTGTGACGAAAAAATGTAGGACATGCAAGGAAAAATTACCATCTACTTCTACGCTCGGGTGTGAAAAACATTTGTGTTACATAGGAGTGCAGCCTAAAGAGACAGAACACAATGACAACATTGTGTTTTATGATTTTGAAACAATGGCGGGGGCAGATGGGGTACATATACCTTTCTTGGTTTGTACAAAAACCTTGGGGGGTGAAATTTGGGTCGGCGAAGGAATCGACTGTGCACGGCAGTTTCTGGCACACTTTAGGAGCCCAAAGTTCAAGAATGCAACATTCATCGCGCACAATGCTAAGGGTTTTGACAGCTATTTCATTATCAACGCAATGGTTGCACAGGGGCTAAAGCCCCCGTTAACAATGCAGGGAAGTAAAGTGATCTCTTTTACTGACGAGGATTTCGGCCACAGGTACATAGACTCACTGTCTTATCTGTCTATGCGTTTAGCAGACATGCCAAAAGCTTTGGGGTTTGGAGATAAAATCAAGGGGTACTTCCCTCACGGTTTCAGCTCCGAGGCTAACCTGAGTTATATAGGCCCTTATCCACCCGCACGCTGTTATGGGGTTGAACGCATGACAACTGGTGAAAAGAGTGACTTTCTCACGTGGTATGAGACGGTACGCCGGGGCATTTTTGACTTTAGAGAGCAGGCATTGCTTTACTGCAAAAACGATGTGGCCATTCTTGCCCAGGGGGCCTCATTATTTCGGAAAGGTTTTCTCGGGGAGACAGGAGTTGATCCTTTTAGTCGTGCGACTATAGCTTCTGCCTGTATGAAAGTTTTTACCACAAACTTTCTAACGCCCAAAACATTGGCAATCCCCCCACCCGACGACTACCGCCGTGAAAACAAGACGTACTCAGACGCAGGTATTCAGTGGCTGGAGTGGGTAGCTCAGACTGCAGGTGTTTTTATTCAACATGCGTTGAATGAAGGAGAGAAACGAGTGGGACGTTTCGTCGTAGACGGGTTTGCCGAAGTTACCGGGGAAAAGATTGTCTGGGAATTTCTAGGTTGTTTCTATCACGGCTGCCCCTCTTGCTATAAGGGGCATGAGAAAAACCCCTTGATAGGTCACACATTTGAGCATCTCCATGCTGTTAGCGAGGCAAAACTGCATGAGCTAGAGGCTGTCCATGGGGCCAAAGTGAACGTTATGCGTGAGCATACATGGGTTGAGATGAAAAAATCCAATCAAGATTTGAAGGCTTTCCTCAAGGTATACAATGCACCAGAACCGCTGACCCCCCGCGATGCTTTATACGGGGGAAGGACATGTGCAGTAAAGTTGAGGCACACAGCAGCGGTGGATGAATCGGTTCATTACTGCGATTTCACCTCACTCTATCCTTTTGTAAACTGCACAGGCCTATATCCACTTGGACACCCTCAGATCATATTCCGAGATTTCAAAGACCCTCGCAGTTATTTCGGGTTAATCAAAGCCACAGTAGAACCTCCTAGAGGTCTGTACTTTCCTGTCCTGCCCTACCGAACTGCAGCTGGTAAACTGGTGTTCACTCTATGCCGCACATGCGCAGAGCTTAACAACCAACAGGGGGCCTGCTTGCATAGCAAAGAGGAAAGAGCATTAACAGGGGTTTGGGTGACCCCGGAATTCACCAAAGCTCTGGATATGGGTTACAAGATGACTCAGATCACAGAGGTGTGGCATTTTGAGAAGAAAAGTGACAGCATTTTTGTAGACTATATACACACCTTTTTGAAGGGTAAACAAGAAGCATCAGGTTACCCTTCAGAGGCCTCAGATGATGAGAGCAGACAAAAGTATGTGGCAGACTATCATGCTAAGCAGGGCATCTTGCTGGATGCAGATAAAATCAAATCAAACCCTGCCAAAAGACAAGTGGCAAAACTATGTCTCAACAGTTTCTGGGGTAAATTTGCCCAGAGAAGCAATCTGACTCAGACTAAGATTGTGACCAAAGCCGAAGAATTTCTTAACCTCTTGTTTTCAGCTAAACATAAGGTTACGTATTTCTCATTCCTCAACCCCCGAACGGCTCTAGTTCAGTGGTGCTACGGGGAAAATTGTTACTCTACTCCCAACAAGGTGGATAACATATTCATCGCCGCCTTTACCACAGCGTATGCCAGGCTGAAACTGTACAGTGAATTGGAGAAATTACAGCGCAGAGTATTCTACTACGACACAGATAGCATAATCTATGTGACAAGACAAGGAGAGAGCCCTCTACCTATGGGTGTGTATCTGGGGGACCTGACAGACGAGCTGGGGGGCGATACGATTAAAGAGTTTGTTTCAGCAGGCCCTAAAAGTTATGCTTATCAGACCAAAAATCAAAAAAAAGTTGTGATGCGCGTGAAAGGCATCACACAAACGCATGAATGTTGCAAACGAGTGAACTTTGACAGTCTGGCCGACCTGGTGGAGGGCTACGTTCAAAACTCTGAGAGGGGAAGGGTAATTGAGGTCCCTCAGCACAGCATTGTAAGGAATAAAGAGGTTTTCGCTTTGAGAAATGTGTCATTCACCAAAAAGTTCCGAGTTGTGTTTGACAAGAGACGTTTGTTAGCCGGGGGAAATACTTTGCCTTTTGGGTATTGAGAAAATAATTGACGACATGTTTTCACCAAGTCAAATTGATTTTGACCCCCGACTGCGTGTTCCTTTTTCCTGTCTAGTAGTGGGCCCTAGTGGTTGTGGAAAAACTTTTTTTGTCAAGAATGTATTGCAAAATTGTATTCACGTAATGGATGTACAGCCTCAAAATATTGTGTGGATTTATACTTCTTTCCAGCCCATGTATGCTGAACTGCAGGAAAAGAATAAAAATATAAAATTCGTCAAGGGTCTGCCTGAATCATTTGAAGATGAATCGCTATTTCCTCCTGACCAAAGTCATCTGATTATATTAGACGATGTTATATTTCAGGCCTCTGAACATCCGGAAGTAGTCAGACTGTTCACCCAATACCGTCATCATAGAAATATGAGTGTTATCATGCTTACCCAAATGTTTTTCACCAAGGAAAAAACAGTCGCACAATTAGTTTGAATACTAATTACATGGTCTTGTTTAAAAACCCCAGAGACAGACTACAAATGAACATACTTGCTCAACAAATACACCCTGGTAATAAATCATTTTTCCTACAAAGTTTTGAAGACGCCACCACGGAACCTCACGGTTACTTAATCGTAGACATGACCCCCACCTGTCCAGACATCTACAGGCTTAGATCGGGAGCACTACCTAATCAATGGCTAGTTGTTTATGTACCAAAAACGAAGACTTGAGAAAAACAGTATGTCGGCCCGTTTAAAAAGAAACATGCCTCTGTTGAGGGCCTTATGTCAAGCCCCGCCTTCAAAGCGCAAGGATATTCTCGAGAACTGCTCCACGGATTTTCTTCAATCACTCTGTGAACTGTCTCTAAATCTTTTAAAAGGTAACATCCCCCTGTCAGGCATTCAGTATAAGAAGCTTAAGAAGCAAAAGAAATTTTTCAAACTCTTGGCCAATAAAAAGACCAACTTAAAAACTAAATTCAAGGCCTTAAGAAAGCAATCTGGAGGTTTCCTACTGCCGCTACTCGGCGCGTTGATCCCCATTTTAGGCCAACTTTTAGGAGGGCTAGCTCGACCATGAGTCAAAAGATGTTTCTGCTAACACCTCACCAGTTTAATCAGCTCAATCAGAATGGTGTAACTAACCCTCACAGTAAGGAAACAATTAGACGCACTGCAGAAGATGTTCTGGATGAAAAAATGAGAGCCACCTTAAACGAACCAGGATTACCCCCTTATGAAAAAATCATAAAATACAACACCTTGTTACAAAGATATCTCACCCTACTCAAACAAGACGGGCTTGAGGAGAGACATATTACTCTGACTCTACCTGAAGACACGGGGGTGGTAAAAGGAGCAGAAAATGATGGCACGTCCGATGATAAAATAAAAAACGATGTTCTACTGCACCTCCCTAAGCGTTACCACAAGAATGCCGAGTACATTATGAGGAAATTAACCACGAGTACAGCTGGATGGACACCAGAGGGGGAATTTATAGACAAGGGGGTTGCCGTTAAAGGCTCCCACGTTTTAGATTTATTTAAACATTTATCCTGCGCGTATAAAACAAATGTCCAGGAGCCTAAGGGCTGGCGGGGTTTTTTAAATAGTCTGAGTGAGATCAACATTCCCTTAACAGCTTTTCAAAACCTTCACGCTCGTGAACAATATCGCATAATCAAAGAGGGTAAACTAAATCGAGAAAATATCCCCCGAAAAAGAAGAAGAAAAACATCTCCCGTTACTACTGGGTGGGACACTTTAGGAACAGCTGTAGAACCTCAGAATGCCCTGCTTAAGAAGAAGAAGAAGAGGATAAGGCAAGACAGAGTATTAAGCCCCAGATGGTTACATTTAACCCCTTAAGTTGTATTATATTTCATGATTTCCTAATAAAGACAGAGTCACCTGAATTAATTTTGTCTTCAGACCTTTTTTATTTCTACATTTTATAACAATCTTTAAACATTTGTAGCGAACAGACACTGTGATTAAAATGAGTGTCTTTATGACGTCTCTCACACCTCTGGTATTTTTTCACAAAATTCGTTACAGCAGCATCATTTTTTATCACATCATCTTGGTATAAAGATAACACATTTTCGTAAGACAACCCGGACGCTCTTTTGCATAGATAAAAAACACAGTGTTGACCACAGGCTGTAGACATGACATTCTGAAGTTGCCGGTTATGGTATAAAATAGTTGCACATTGTGTTTCTAGAAATTGCAGGATGCTTTAGGATAATGACTAAAATCGGGGGGAAATCCGAAAGAATCAAAAAAAGTTCCTTCCCCAGCCTCTAAAGTCACTGCTAGCCAGTGTTCTCCGGGCATGTGGGAGGGGTGGGTGTTGACAATCATGTATACAGGGCATCTAAATAATTGTTTTACTCGGGGTAGCTGGTCTGAGGCCCATACCCCCCCAAAAGAACCACCTAACATATTCTGCATGAGACTATCCAGTTGGTGATTATTCATGTTGTAGTCTTCTTCTTAGTAATAATCTACCAGCACTTGTCGTTTTGAATTAATCTCCAGAATCGAATCAAAACAAGAATATACGATTAAAGTGGTAGTCTGTGGCAGCGGTACTCTGAACCTCATTTCCAATCTTAAACTACCGCTGGTGATGGGGGATAAGGCATCGGCATCTTCAGCAGCAGTTAAATTAAACACAAATAAAGAGTATCCTTGTTCGAAATCATCTCTGTCTATACTTAGAGGCAAGTCTTTCATGTGTCTCCCTGTAGCAGTTAACATGTTGTAAAACTCTCTGACTGACGACCCCCGGTTAAATTGGGGTTGAAATGCTTTGGCTGGTACTTGTCTCCCGTCCTGACATAAAGCCAGGTACTCTATGTCGTTATGAATGAAATTAAACGGTGAAAGCTCTCTCCTGCCGGTGAAGGCTTCGTGATGTACCATACCCAATACTAGGTACTTGGGCATATTACCCAAAAAGAGATTTTCTTGGTTGCATATTCTAGAATTAACCGGTATACTATATGTCTTTAGATTCACCCGTGACAGGGGGTAGAGGGCGTTACCTCTCAGCAGAGCCGCAGCATGCCCCAAACGCACCGCAGGAGTGATTGTGGCTTTTTTGATAAAAAGTGAAGCCCCCAGTATTTTTAGACGGTATGTAGAGTCATTTGCACACATGAGAGTAAAGGCATCGTTAGATCTGGTGAGTTTGATTCTCAAATCTACAGAGTTCAGGAGAAGCCTCTCGCTGAAGAATATATCCGTGTGTAAAGCACCCATCAAATGGAGCTCCCTAGATTCTGCTGTGAATGAGGCCCTCTTTACCAGCCCCTTATTTGGTCCATTGGCTGTGACTATAGAGTCCATAGACCCCGCGGTGTCTTTATAAAATAAGCCGGCTGTGAACTGAGTTTTTAAAGTAGAATCAGAGTAATTCAATAGCGTTTCAATAATAGCCCTGTAAGGATGAGTCGAACTGGATTGAGAAATTAGTCTGTCCCCTAGAATAACGTCGCATTGACTAAAAATTGTATTCAGAGGGTAATTAACTAGGGCCACGGGGGCATCAGCTGCCAGATTAGTCCCATCTGCGTTGGTTATTTTGATCCTGAGATGTATCAAGGTGTCATTCATATCCAGGTATTTATCTCCGTCCCCGGGTATAAAAAATTCTATGGGTCCGTCCTCTGTAATGGCCGACAGTGGAAGGACCTCTGTGTAGTGTTTTTCGTCGATAGAGAGTTGTGTCATCGGAGCTGAAAATAAATCCAGCTCTGCCATGCTGCATTCAGCAGATTTGTGATGTAAAAGGGCCATATTTAACACGCTAAAATATATCTCTCCCCAATACGTTCCTTCTCCGAGGGTGTTTTTTCCCTAATGATTTTCTTTTGACTGTGTGTTTTCCTTTCTTGACACCCCTCGGAACCCGTTTGCCTGGAGGTCTCTTCCGGGGCCTTCTTGCCAAAACCATCAGACCACCTGATCCTTCTTGAGATCCGGGTCTGATTGGGGGCCGAATCTATGGACAGCCTTACTGATAACATCTGATGCAATATTTTGGCCGCCGATTTCAGATGAGGTTTAGCTATGGCGAACCCTTTTCTCACCAGGGGGGGCGACAAAACGAAATAATCTGGAAAATATAGAGCCAATGCCTCGCCCGTACATTACCGGGGCACCATAAAAACCAGGCAGGGATCCCCCCGCTTGATTTTCATAGTAACTCACAAAACGTTGGGGGTCTTGATGAATCATCGTTTTGAGGGGCGGAAATGAAGTTTCACTACACTTTTTCCGTAGGTGAACTTTACTGGTTTGTTCTGGTCGTTTTTTATTTCTATCTGTATATTCTCGATGTGTGTTTTTGTTACCGGCAAGTAGTATGCAGGATTAAAATACTGAGTTACTGTATCGCCGAATGTTCCTCTTATATCTACGGTTCTCAAGAGAGGAGCAAAAGCGTCACCTACCCGCTGGTGACTGACCACATTGCTATAGCAGTATAGATGTGTTGAGCCAGCATTTATATCCGTTGGATAGGCAGCTGATTTATTATCAAATTTGAGCCACTGGTCTGGTTGTATTCCAAGCATATAGGCGACGGTTTTTGGAAAGCGGAAGCGATATTGAGCCCCTCCTAGAAATTCGATTTTCCTGTTAATTGGACTATAGTGTAAACTGACATCGGGGTCAATTTTTTTAAAACAGGACTCAAGTTCCTCTATGAGCTGAGTTATGCTACTATAGTAACCAGCTCTAAACATATGAAGCCTTAACTTGCTCGTTGGGGATGTGTCAGGGAGTTTTGCTTTCTTTATCCACTCAAAAAAGGCTGCTTCCGTAGGTACGTTATACCAGGTGTGGGGGTATGATATTTCTGTCAGGGCGACCTGCCACGAACCATCCAAGTGTAAAGGTTGTGCTAGGTTCACCTGATAGCTAGAGCTTGTATTGTTTTGAAATACCTCCAGGCTGGCATTAGACGGCAGCGTAATGTAGAACCCTTCATTTATCTCCATGGTTGTAATGAAGGACTGAGCTTGATTCTGATTGCTTTTATACATCTTGGATTTCGCCAGCATCAACCCAGCTGTTGAATTTTTCGGGCCAATTACGCCAAGATACAAACATTTGTTTTTTCCCCCTCACCACACGCCTTTTTAGAATTTTCTCGACTTGAAAAGCCTTGTCATTAGTTATCTTAACTTTTTGTAACTCTTTCTCATAAAAAGTACCCTTGATCTCTTCTCCATCATAATCTTTGAGCTTATAAACAGGT